TTTTACAATAAAAAGATATTTTACTTTTAAAAATAATTTTAAGGAAGTTAAAATTAAGGAAGGAGGTAAAAATGAATTTAAAAATTTATTTTTCGAGGAACATTATATTTTAATTTGGGACCGCCGTTCTGAGGAGTGCCGTTTTTTAGGCTAATTCAGATTGATCAGGTTTAGGGATACATTTTAGGGTTCATGTTAGGTTTAGGGATACATTTAGGGTTCAGGTTAGTTTAGGGATACATTTAGGACATACGTTCGTGGGTCACAATAACCAAGATGGCGGCCGCGGGCTGATCTCTCTGAATTGTTTTTTATTCAAAAGAACATTTGTTTTATGGGAAGTGTGAATTATAGTAATTTTCGCGGTGAATTAAAATTGAAGTATTCACTTCTGATACCGGGTCCGATTAGCCGCAGCCAAACTTTTCATTACAATTACAGATAAGACAGTAGCCGATTTGCCGCCGCCCCCCCCCCCCCCCCAAAAAAAAAAAAAACAACAACTTTGATCTTGAATGATCATGATGTCATGTTAATGATTATAGAACTATATTTAAAATAGAATTTAAAAATACAATAAAATTATAAACATAAACGTATTCTTACTTGCTTTACGTCACATTGTTCTTCAACGCTGGATGAAAGTCTTCAAAATATGACATGACTCTAAGTCTAATTTCTAAGATGGCAAACCAACATGACATGAAGTGTTCGTCATAACCGTCACGTGACCAACCGAATTATTATAAAGCCCTCACGTGACCAGCTGGGTCCGAATAGCTAATTGCTGCTATGTACCTATAGCCACTCCGTATATATTTTTAAACATAAAAGTGAAAGTTTGTTTTTGGCTGGCTGGATTTGTTCCACATACGTTTTTACATGGAGTGATGGATCTTGACCAAACTTGGCACATATATCCAGCATTATCCGGAAGGAACTCTTAAGAGGTTATTAACTTTTGAAAACATTTCGTTTGGTGCCTGGGGCCCCGAATTCGTTTTTCTTTCTTATATAAGCTATATAAATAAAATTAACAACAAATACTCCTATATTATATGAGTTTTTACGGATCTTGACCAAACTTCGTACACATTCACTGGATTATCCATAGTCAAATACCGAAGGGTATTGAACTCATAATATCCATTCCTCTGGGGCTGGGGGCCCCGTTTCATTTGTCTTATATAAGCCATATAAATATCAATAGGCTTAGACAACACTATTGTTTCTATGTGAATTAATGGATATAGGCCTAACGTTGTAGCAATAACCTCCATTGCCCGTATTGAAATATCGGTGGATTTAAAAGTAATACTATCCATTCTAAAATTTTCCAGAAAATTCGATAATTTTAAAAAGCTAGACTATATCTATAGTATTTTAGTAGATTTTAATGGGACAAATTTTAAATTTTATGTCTATTATTTATCTGTCTGATTTTATAGGGCCCCCATAACTCAGGCATAACTAAATCGGTACAGTTATGGAACCCCCCCCCCCGGGGCCCCTCGATTAACTTAAAAGAAAAAGGATTATAATTATGGCCTTTGTTGAAGATTTTTTATCGTATTAGAAAAATAATTAAAAATTTTTATAGGGCCCCCATACCTCAGGCATAACTAAACCGGTACAGTTATGGACCCCCCCCCCCCCCGGGGCCCCTCGATTAACTTAAAAGAAAAAGGATTATAATTATGGCATTTGTTGAAGATTTTTTATCGTATTAGAAAAATAATTAGAAAACAGATAAGTAATGTTTACTCATGTTTCGAGCCGGTCATTAAATTTAATCTAGAGTGTTCCAGAAAGTTATAAATTGTTCCAAGGGGATATATAGTGGGATCTAAGAGTAAGAGATTATTGAAATTTTATGTAATTCTATTCATTTCTATACTGTCCCGGAGTTCATTATTCTCTCAGTAACACTGAGTAATTTTTTCATACGGAATCCCAGATGGGTCGGCATCCTATCATAATCTTTATCCCAACGGTATCAGGATCCCACCAGAAAACGGCATCCCAACGGGATTCTAACCTTGAATGGATTCACAGGGATCGGGATCACATCCGGAAACCGGACTACGCCGAGATCGGTGTCAGAAATGGATCGAGGTCCCAATGGGATCGGGGGCCACACCAGGATGGGGTCACGCCGGGTATATAGGCTAGTATATATATAAAAAAGTGAATGTTTGTTTGTGGGTTGTTCCACATACGTTTTTACATATTGACCAAACTTGGCACATATATCCATCATTATCTGGAAGGAACTCTTAAGGGGTTATGAACTTTCTATAACATTCCGTTTGGGGTCGGGGGCCCAAAATGTCGTTTTTTTCCTATATGAGATATATTTAAAAAAATTACTAAAAATACTCCTACATGAATGAATGGATCTTGACCAAACTTAGTGCACATACACTTTATTATTCATATCAAAGTATTGAAGGGTATTTAACTCATAATATCCATTCTTCTGGGGCCGGGGGCCCCCATTTTATTTTTCCTTATTTAAACTATATAAATATCAATAGGCTTAGACAAAACACTAGAGTTTCTATGTGAATCGATGGATATAGGACCAGCGTGGTAGCAATATACTTCATTGTCCGTATTTAAATATAGGTTGATTTAAAACTAATAATATCCAATGCATTCAAGGCCAATCTAGAATTTTCTAGAAAGTGCCATAATTTAATAAAGCTATAACTATGGTATTTTTAAACCGATTTTAATGGAACAAATTTTAACTCTATAATTTATCTGAATGATTTTTACAGGGCCCCCATACCATCTCAAACATAACTTAAACGGTACTTTATGAAATGGGCCCCCACCGGGGCCCCCATTTCATTTTAAATGTACTATAGTTGTAGTAATTCAATGAAGTTGTATAAAAACACCGGGAAACGGGACTGCGCCGAGATCGGTGACAGAATGGGATCGGGGATCCCAGGATGGGGTCCTAATGCAATCCAGGGCTATGCTGGGTATATAGGCTAGTTATTTATAAATGTAACGGAGAGGTAGAAGTTCACGTGTTTTTGTTGTGTGTTTTTTTTTTGGTTGGTTGGGGGGGGGGGGGTTGGTACTTTTACCGTATTTATGGGCGTATAACACGCATTTTAATAAGGAAATTTCAGGGGGGAAAAAATTAAATTTCAAATAAATAACTTTGAAGCAAAATAAGGGTAGCTCAGAATTTTGTTAAATTAATATTATTAAAACTTATAAGGTAAATAACGTAAAATGACAGTAAAAGCAACTGTTTTAACAAAGAAACTTGGATATTATTTGTTTTTACAAAAGTTTACTCAGAAATCGCTGCTATCTGGGAAACCAAGAAACTCTTCATCTTCACTGCTATCTTCAATATCTTCGAACTGAACACTGCTGCGTTCACTGCTACTGTCTTCTTAAATCAGCTCGCCTTCTTCACCATCCAAAGCATTGCTTATGCCACATTTCTTAAAAAGATTTGATAATAATATCTTCTTTAACTGCGTCCCACGAAGTCTTTATCCACTGACACACTTTTGAAATGCCAGGTCTTTTCATTCTCCCAGATTTTTTACTTTCATGTTGGCTTTCATCACACATGTATTTATTCCATTCTTCACGCATGAAGGCTTTGAAGGGCTTGTTAATGGAAACATCCAATGGCTGCAATTGTGATGTAAGTCCTCCTGGAATGACTCCTACTTCTGCACATTTGAAATTCTTTCTTTGTTGGTTCTGTAAGATGAGATCTGAATGAGTCCAGTACTAACAAGGTTGGCTTTTTTAACAAAGCACCTGGGCGCTTCTCCCACACATTTCTGATCCAAAGCCTCCTGCCTTCTTCGTCCATCCAACCTTTGGGATGAACATGCACCTGTATGCCACTTGAAATCTTCTCCTTAGGAAAAGTTTTCCTTTTAAAAATGACTATTGGTGACAGCTTGTTTCCGTCTGCAGTGACAGCAAGGACCGCAGTATAACGATTTTTTTTCATGGCCTGAAGTTTTAATTGTTACTGTCTTGGCACCTTTTTGCTTCAACAGTTTTATTTGAACTAACATCAAAAGTCAGTGGTACTTCGTCCATGTTGCCGATTTGACCAATTTAAAAATTGTGTCTCTTCCTTTGTTTAATAATAAATTTATGAAAATTTATGATCAATTCTTCGTACTCTTCTGGCATACGCTGGTTAATCCTGATTCTTGTTTGCATCCGAAGCTCATGCCACTTCATAAATCTTTGACACCATGATGCTGTCCCTTTGAAATCTTGTATTTGCAACTCTTTGCTGAGTTTCACTGCTTGAATGATGAACAGTTTTGTTGATAATGCAATGCCCGCTTTTCTATGATGATTAAGTACAAATTTCTTCACACGTTCTTCTAATTTTGGCCATTTAGCAATACCACTGCGAAAATTGCATTTTGTTTTTGATGATGTCTTGAGTTTTTCTTCCATTTTTCGCCACTCTCGTATTGTGCATTGTGCTGGTGGCTCTCCAAAATGCCTTGCTGCAGCCCTATTTCCATGTTGCTTGGCATATTCCACAATCTTTAACTTGAAACCAGCTGTACATGCTGCACGCTTTTGCTTTGATTCTCTTAGGGATACCGTATTAGGGAAATACCGTAAGTAATGAATGCACGTATGATAGTGCAGAGTTGGTGTGACGTATCCGCTGTAGCAGGAAGGCTGCACTGGAGGTCTGAAATGCCGCGCCATTCAAGAAGAATTCCACTTGCTTACATTATGTGACACATTCCAGTTCCAGTGTAGCAGAGGAAAGCTGCCGGGGACTATAATATGCGCCGATGACATCCATTCGCGCCGCTATGCGGTATGTACTATGGGTCCTTAACATTATATCGGCGTATAACACACACACATCATTTGACCCTTATTTTCAGGGAGAAAAAGTGCGTTTTATTCGCCGATAAATAACGGTAATTATTTTTCGCCCCATCTCCCCCCAGTGTAAAAACCTGGCTACTGCTACGCAACACATTCTCCACAACCATTTATTTTGATCTTAACCATACCAAGTGGTTTACTTCCCCTTTTAAGGAGCAATCACTCTCAATTCAACTGACTCGACAACGAAGTATCTTACTTAATTCTAACTAATAAACTAAGACGGCAACTAAAATATCCATGCTACTACCAGTAACAGGTTACAAAGTAGGTTGAAATCAAATGCAAATGTATAGCGAAAATAGGCTGCCTTCAATTTGTACAAATTTCTGAATTTATCAAAGAAGGGGAGAGAGTGACTCGCCTAGTTTAAATAAATGATTTAAATTATGAATATGATTATGATTATCATAAATTACCACTGAATAAAATATAATATAATTAATAAATAATATAATATATATTAATCAATATTATAAATAATATAAAGATTTTAAAAGATAATATCTAAAATCTGGTGATGCATTTTCATTTTATCACATTAGCCATTTGTAACTTTGTTGATCCCATGAGTTCTAATGTCTAATGACTAATACTAGAACTAGAATATGTCACTGACAGTGACTGTGACTCGACTATAGACACTATAGTCAACTATAGTATAGTCTCTGACAGCTCATTCATTACATGACCATGCTATTATTATTATTCTTAGGTTATATAATAATAAAGGCCTAATTTAACTTTGGCATGAACCTTCGCCGCTTCTGTAAAAAAAAAAGTAAAGTCGTAAAGTCACAACATTTGTCATTTGTTAATTATTAATAGTTTTATGCTGCACCTATAGAGCAAACTTAAAATTTAAAAAAATAATTATGCTATAGGCTACCGGCTACCTTCATGAACTTTCCAGCTTTTAAAATATTTGAGCTATAATTATGAATGTTTCAAATTCAACATGCGATTTAATTTAATTTTTCCTTTTTTTAAAACTAAGTCTATGGACTGCGCCTCCACATTTTGTGACCTAATTTAAGTATTGAATTAATTGCGCAATTATCAATTAGCCAAGGGTTTAAGTCACCTCAGCCAGTCACCCTGTGTACTCACTCTAATCACAATGGCTGTGAGTGTTACTAGGCTAAACCATGAATTTTATGCCAACAAGCCAAATCAAATCAAAGGGCAAGACCTAATCATAACTCTATAATTTTTAAAAACGCTTAACGCCAACACTTTTTGATTAAGCTATACAGCCTAAACTACAGTTGATAACAATACATTTTTTGTTATCATCCAATTGTAAATGTAATTTCTAACTTAATGAATGATAATAGGCTGCCTTTGGTTTGTATCAATTTCTGAATTTGTCACACCAAGGAGATTTAAATAGTTAAGTTCACTCAGTTTACCTTGGTCATTATTTCAGTCAAGTAGATCAGTGGTTCCCAAACTTTTAAGTTTGGCGGACCGGTGAACAAGTTTCAAAATTTTACCAGGGACCGGTGCATGATTTATTTTTATACTTTTATTTCTATTTGACAATAAATATTTATGTTATGGGGACCGGCAGCGCTAGGCATGCGGACCGGTGAAGGTCCACGGACTGCCATTTGGGGACCACTGAAGTAGATAAACAAGGCAAGCTTTCTTGTCCTTTTTTTAAAATTATGTTTATGGAATAAGGGATATGATCTTATTCTTACCTACTTTTTCTTTTCTAGCCCTGCTCTGACATTTTAACATTCTTAACATGATGAGTAAACGTTTACTAATAGGCAACTAATGATAACAAAATAATAATAAATAAAAATAAAGTTCTGATACTAAGCAATGCAAGATCTTAAAAAGTATAGTAAAAAAATTAACATCACCTCATTTTGAGCAATCATAAACAAAGCTAAGGACGGACCTGAGTAAATGAATTGTTGATTTCTTTTTTTAGGGCTTACAGTTTTAGACTATTGAGTCCACAAACTACAATTAGCTTAATAAAAGCAAGCTGTTACTATACATTTTTCAAATATATAAGCTGTTTAACTATAAGACTATGGAACTAAATCTCATATGGGAAAGGGTCATATTTTATTTACAGTTTAAAAAGAACTTAGCTTGGACATCTCTATGTGGACAGTTGAAGATGAATATAGCCACAGTTTTTTTTCTAGTTCTGTGTATGACTTATGATGTTGCTCTGGCATCTAACTCATCTGAAATCAAAGTTGATCTCAATGGATATTTAGCCTACTGTCCTTGTATGGGTAAGCACATCCTCACTTGACGGCTCTCTTTGCTCATTAAACCAGCAATGAGTCTCTCGTCTGTTCTTCTGTCAGCATTCATTGTGATCTTTTATGACTATTTGTTGTATTCTTTTGAAAAGAAATGAATTCAATAGTATATAATAATGTTAAATATTCCAGTATATAATAATGTTAAATATTCCAGTATATAATAATGTTCAATATTCCAGGTTGCCATTCTGAAAGACGGTTAATTAAATTGGAACCTTTATAGTTTTTTTTTTTTTCCTTTTCTTCTGAGAACAACATAATTTTACGTAATATACCTTATTGTTAAATTTCAGGTCGATTCGGCAATCAAGCTGATCAGTTCCTTGGTGCTTTAGCCTTTGCAAAGGAACTAGATAGAACTTTGATCCTGCCTCCATGGGTTGAGTACAGAAAATCTAGTCATAAAGCAGTGAGTCTATTAATACCGTAATCCAATGAGTGCTAGATCAATTTTAGCCAAGTCATGCCTTTCAACCTCCTACAATTAATTTCTGTACACAATAAAATATATTGGTTTCATGTTAGATAATATTGTTAACACTTGAGTTAAGTGATTTGATTTATTTGTACTGATTTTCAGTATATTTCAATAAAATAAAATTTTGAATAGATAAAATTTTTTTGTGGTTTAACTCTTTTCATTCCTCTTATATAGAGAGCGCACAACTTTATACGTAGGTTTTTTTTCTCTCATAAAATTATGTCTTCTTTTTTTTTAAAATTATTCTATAGTTATTTGATAATACAATTGGAAGAAAAAAAAAGAAAAAAAAGTTAAAGATTTTGAATTATTTTTTTTTTTTTTGCGAGTTCGACGTTCACGTGACATGCCAAAGCGGTGGTCGCCATCTTAGCAAATTTCTTTTTTTTTTTTTTTTTATAATTCAATTGAAAGAAAAAAAAAGAAAAAAAAGTTAAAGATTTTGAATTATTTTTTTTTTTTTTTTGCGAGTTCGACGTTCACGTGACATGCCAAAGCGGTGGTCGCCATCTTAGCAAATTTCTGCAAGAAGCTTGGCTTGTGGACTCGGGAGCCCAATATCTTAAATAATGAATACTACTGACGAAAATGTTGATCAAATTTTATCTGAATCTTCTGGGGAAGATAGTTGGGAACCCGAATCTAGTGATTCTGATTCAGATTTTGATGATAATCTTCCTTTGCAGCCGATTTTAGCTGTTAACACTAGAAGGTTAGTAATCGAGTGCTTCGTCATTCAAATTTTTTTTTTAGATTTCTTACTTTTATTTTTTTTTATCGGTTTAAATTGTTTTTTAAGCATATTGTTATATTTACTAGCCATTTTTAAATCAATCTACGCAAAAAAAAATAATTTTTTAACATGTGAATATTTTATTACATTTATTTTTCTAGAAGACGTTATTCTTAGAAACTGTTGATAAGGAATGTAAACAATGCAGTCAGCACTGCTTATTATGATATATTTTATCATACAGGACAAGAAATTTGATATCAATTTTTTTTTTTTTTACATTTAATGTACTGACAATAAATTTTATAGTCATAATGGTTTTCAGACAGAATTGAAAGCACACAAAACTTGAAATTAAATTGAAGTACTTATTTTTTATTAATTTCAATCCTAAAAGTAGCAAATAGGTCTATAAATTCTGTTCTTTTATATTTACAGGGTAAACTCATATGATGTTCACGACGATGACCCACCAGTTCCAATTCCCAAGTTTCTACCAGCCAGAAAGCCAGGCTTACATCTAAGGGAAGAAATGTCAACAAGGGATACAGTAAGACAATTTCTAGACCCTCAAGACTTTTTCAAATTGTTTTTTACTTTGGATTTAGTGGAAAAAAATTGTGAAGTACACCAACAAGTATGCCTCAACCATGGGGCCTACTAAACCTTCAATCTACAGTGGTTGATATGATGTATCAGAAGAGGAATTTTACAAATTTCTAGGACTTCTTATGTACATGTCAATTGTACAGGTCCCCAGTGTTCAAAAATACTGGTCTACGTCAACTTTGTACCATGGACTGTGGGCCAGAGCCTTCTTGACCAGAAAAAGATTTATTCAAATAATGACATTCCTCAAAGTTTCAAACATTGAAACAGAGAATAAGGAGGACAAACTGTGCAAAGTTAGATTGCTTTCTGATTTTATACCAAGATAAATGTCAGAAGCTTTACCAGCCTCGCCAACAGCTATCGAAAGATGAACGCATGGTAAAAAACAAAGGGAGATACACATTCAGACAATACATAAGGGACAATCCAACGAAATGGGGTATGAAAGTTTGGGTCATAGCAGAGGCAATAACAGGCTTACACCTATGATTTTGATGTGTATTTAGGGAAGCAAACCCAATCATCAAACAATAGCTTGGCCTATGATGTAGTAATGAACCTTATCAAATCTGTTAAAAACCAAGGCTACCAAGTGTTTTTTGATAATTTCTACAGTGGGTATAAATTACTCAAAGATCTGTTATTACTAGGAATACTTGCTTGTGGTACCATTTAGCCGCTACTTACAAATTGATTTCACCGAGGAACTTATTAGAACATTGGGTGGATTACAAAAAACTGATGAAGTTCCAAGTGCCACACATGTTTGCACCTCAAAATACCAGGCAGTGCATCCAACTGTCCCTGAGTGCACACATTTATACAGAAATTGTAAGGTTTGTTATAAATTGGGGATGCAAAAAAAATCCACAATCAAATGCAGCACCTGTGAAACTTACCTTTGTTTTAATAAGACAAGAAACTGTCTTGTAGAGTATCATAAAGTTTAAATTGACCACATGTATATTTTCTTTGTTGTAAATATTTATAAACTTGTAAAAAAAAAATAATTCTTATCAACAAGTTGTGAAGGTGTGGTCAATTGATTTTAAAAAAAAATGATTTCCCCTTGTTAATACATTTTACAAAATCTTTCATATTTTCATAACATGCCATTAAAAATGTTTGAATTCTTTGTATTGCATACAAAAATGAATAGTCTTTCTGAATAAATCATTTTTTTTGGAAAAAATTCTTGATACATTTTTTTTTCATTCTTTGTATCTAATCAAAAATATTTTTTTTAAAAATGTTCATAAATTATTATTATTATTTTTTAATCACAGCTTCAAAGTAATGAACTCAATTTTTAAGAAACATTAATTACTGAAAGCATCATGCATTTCCCTACAATTTGATATGCAACATCATGAACTTTAGACTAAAACTCTTTATGATATAGATATAGACTCATTAGTGGCATCACTAGAAATCTCCAGAAAATAATGAAAAATTCAAGGAAGGTAAAGAGTTAATTAAAAAAACATATAATTTATTTTATAATTTTGAAAAAGGGATAAAAGTTATGGAGGAGTATATTAATTTAAAAAAGTTTTCAACTCTTAACAACTGAAGCCATTTTAAAATGTTCAAAGTTGTTTAACTTTTCTGATTTCCAATGAAATAATTCATTAAAAAGGTTATCTATATCTTTAGATTTTGAAGTTGAAGAAACAAATCAAATTTTTTTAGCAAGATGTGATAAAATGTTCTTATTATTTCTCTGAGATAAAAATAGTTATCTATGGTTTCACTGGAGCAAATTTTTATAATTAAATTTAGTAGTTAACTATGTCTGCAGAGCCTCTTCTCAAAAGAAAAAGAATAATAATGTTTTTGATATCTGACAAGGTGATGGAGCCATTTGATACTTACTTTAAAGTGGAGCCCTTCCTAGAATACCACAGAGTTATAACAATGGAAGTATTCATGAAAGACCTGGCATCAACCGTCTGGCCACCGGGACAGAGGAGAAGTACTGATGTTACTCATTTAAATAAGTACATAAGTAGAAATACAAACAAAGAGAAGTTCAGCCTCTCTGTTCATCGGTGTTACCCATTTAAACTAATTGAGAAGTGCAAGTAAATTTCAATGTTTAAAAAAAAGCTGTGCAGAAGAAACTTTTTTGGGTACCAGGTATTCATTACTCTGCTAGATTTGAGAGGAGAAAATTTAGAAATTCATGTTTCTACATTACTATGTCTCTCTCCTTGACTATGGTCCTTTGAGCTAATGTCAGATTTTTAAAACTTAGTGCTTAAGTTTTTTCCTATCTTCATCTCTATTCCTTACTATAAGACTTTAACCACTAAAATTTAAATGAAAAAAACCCAAACAATTTGTCAAATTTAAAAAAAAAAGGGTAATTCTTCTCTTACGATCTTGATTTATAAACAAGTTTGAAATTAATCTATTTAAAAAAAAAAAAAAAAAAGAAAAAAATTTTTTAAAACTTAGTGCTTAAGTTTTTTCCTTTCTTCATCTCTATTCCTTACTATAAGACTTTAACCACTAAAATTTAAAAGAAAAAAACCCAAACAATTTGTCAAATTTAAAAAAAAAAGGGTAATTCTTCTCTTACGATCTTGATTTATAAACAAGTTTGAAATTAATCTATTTAAAAAAAAAAAAAAAAGGAATAAATGAAGTTGAAATGCGTTCTCCTCACATTATATATATTTTCATAGACTTTTAACAATTTCTTGTTCCCTTAGTTTTTTGTTATTCTCCACGCCATGGCTCAAATAAAGATCAGTGTAATGCCAAGGAAGGCAACCCATTTGGTCCATTCTGGGACTGGTTTGATATTGACTTTGATGAGAATGTGATTTTCGGGCCACTTTTTTATGACACTCAAAGTCCTAGAGCCATGTCAGAGTGGAAGGAGAAGTAAGTGAAAAATGTAATTTATACGGTAGTTAGAATTCTAAAAGATATCTAAAGTTGTATTGTCTTTCAGACACAAAACTTTATTTGTGTAAAGTTAATAGAGCAATGTTTTATTGTAAGCACATGAAATTAAGTGTCACATTAATTATGTTCAACCATTGAATAGAACGTCTGGCTTGTCTCAAAAGTGCTCCCCAGTGTTGACAAGACCTCACAAAATAGTCGTCAACAATTATCTTCCAATCTATGATACTTAAATTACACAAATGGAAATTGTTTTATCTTTCTTGGAAACAGCATCTTTACAGTGTACAGCAACCAGAACTATATCTCATGCTAAGGGATCTATTGATTACCTTCACACTGAAGCATCGATTAAAATAATTTATTTAATTTAAAAATCATCATGAAATCATTTATACAACCTTGTGACTGTGATAAAGCTGAAGTAGATAAAAAGACACGTATGTATAGTGAAACTTTAATAACATTGACCAAAGCCAAAATAAGATGTCTTGGCTTCATTAATTTAAAACAAGTACATGTATGTAAATTAAATACTACTGAAAAAACAAATTAGAAAGAAGAAAGAAATGACAAACAAAAATTCCTTATACACACACACAGGAAGAAGAAAAAAGTGGTGGGCAGAAGCAGAATGTAGGGAATAATAATAGCAGGAGACAATATTGCAGTTATGTACAATTATGGCTTTGGTTTATGCCCCTGTGAAGTCAACATCCTTAATCTTTTAACAAAGGGATTCTTCCAGTGTATTCTTAACATACAGTACAAGGGTAACTGCAATATCAAATATCCAATTGTGAATAACATTTTAGAAGTGGGAAATGAGTTCTTGTTTTCTTTATATATCAAAGTATGTACAGATGTTCTCTGAGCCAAATAAAGCTAAGGGATGGCCTGTTCCTCAGATGTAGAACTTACTGCATTGCTATAGTTGTCAACTCCTTTGTTCTACTGGATTGATTCATTCGTCAAGTTCTTTCATACGTTGAATACATCGTACTATTCTTACTATCACTGAATAAACTCTCATAAACACATGAATGTAGCGCAGCTCGATATCAGACATAAATAATGAAATGAAATTTACTATAATGCCAAATATGCTTTATTCATTTTTAAAAGATTTTCTAAATAATCTGATATAAGGTTTTATTTCCTGTAATCTTTCTTGTCTCCAGATACCCTGCCAAGGATTACCCAGTTTTAGCATTCGTTGGTCCCCCAGCATCTTTCCCTGTAAGTCAGTATAATGCAAAGCTACACAAGTTCATGAAGTGGTCAGATTCCTATAATCAAAAAGCTGATGATTTTATCGAGAAGAACATACAAGACAGACCGTTTATTGGTATCCATTTGAGGAATGGGCCAGATTTTGTGAGTTGAAAAATATATATAGATTTTTTGTTTTTGACAACGATGTACAGTTATATTGTCTTAAAACATTTAATTTAATGAGTAGTTTTATAAATTAATCTCAGACATGTTAATAAGTTAACTTGCTTTCAAATCATTAAGGCAGTGGACATTTTAAAATGTACATATAACAGAATAGTATAATATATATGGCATCCTTCCATCTACGTTAGACGATGGAGTAGCTAAGTAGTGTAGTCCTACACTTCGACGAGTGACTAACTAGGCCAATCCTGGAATGACAATCTCGACCATTTCTCTCACAGGGGAATATTGATTCCCGGAAAGATTTTGACTTCCGTATTGTTCTTTTTCTTGCAAGGGCCTCGTTTCGTGTATCTTCTGCCTTTATAATATATAGTATTTAATTAATTGATTCAGAATTATTAAGGTTAGACCTTTTTTTTTTTTTTTTATACATATTCTCACTCTTCTCTTTGAAAGAGAAAGTTTATACTGAGAGTGTGTTATTTATTTTGATAATTAAAAATTATGGTGTTGAAAAAAAATTTTTGTAAAATTTTTGTAAATAAAATTTGTTCTTTTTCTTGCAAGGGCCTCGTTTCGTGTATCTTCTGCCTTTATAATATATAGTATTTAATTAATTGATTCAGAATTATTAAGGTTAGACCTTTTTTTTTTTTTTTATACATATTCTCACTCTTCTCTTTGAAAGAGAAAGTTTATACTGAGAGTGTGTTATTTATTATGATAATTACAAACTATGGTGTTGAAAAAAAAATTTTGTGAAATTATTGTAAATCAAATTAGTATCAACTATTAATTGCGAATCCAAAAGCTTTTGCAAAACAAAAAATCCAGTTCTTATATGAACTGAAATCATTTAAAGTTATGTTATTTAATATTATTTTGTGAATTCATCTGTAACTTCCAGGAAAATGCATGTGCTCATGTGCCTAGTTCTTACATGAACTGAAATCATTTAAAGTTATGTTATTTAATATTATTTTGTGAATTCATCTGTAACTTCCAGGAAAGTGCATGTGCTCATGTGCCCAGTTCTTATATGAACTGAAATCATTTAAAGTTATGTTATTTAATATTATTTTGTGAATTCATCTGTAACTTCCAGGAAAATGCATGTGCTCATGTGCCTAGCACTCCCAACATGTTTGCAGCTAAACAGTGCACAGGTGAGAGAGGGGAGTATGGCACCACGACGCCAGAGATGTGTTTCCCTTCCACCAAAACTGTCACTCAGCAGGTGGGCTTTTACATCTGGTCTTTTGTCCCAAATCAAATTACTGTCAGTTGCCAAAACAAAATTTAATCAAAGAAATTTTTTTAAAGAACAACTGTTGCTTCCTCGTCAGTGTTTGTGAAAGCCAAGTAGGCGGGCTTGGTAGTATAAAAGTATTATAATAATTGTATACATTTTTAAAAATAAATTGATGATTAGATTTCTGCTGATCAGTATATTTTTCTGTCTTCGAAAGTTTTTTAAAGTTGGGTTTAAGGGTTTTAACCTTTTCAATGTGGTACAATTTTCATTTGTCTAATTACACAAAATTTGAATTTATTCATTTTCTATAAATTTAGGCCGCAGTTTAAAAAAGTGAACGTTGTCGTGTAGAGAAATAATGTAGGAAAAAATAACAATAGTCAAGAAATAGGCATGATTTAATGTTCCACATTCATTCAAATCTTGTCTCTGATATAAATATTTGAAGTTATCACTTGAAAGTGTTGAGAAACACCACTACACTTTGTTGAGAAAAGAAGAGAGTGTAGCAGCGTACTTTATAAGTAGCTTTTGCCATTAAATGTCTTGAATTAGCTCTTGACATTAAATGTCTTTTATGATTTATTAACAATTTCTTTGCAGGTGAAAAAAGAGGTTGAAAGGATTGGAGCCAAAACTGTTTTCGTTGCAACAGATTTTAATGATTTGATTCCAGAATTTTCTCAAGTCCTAACAGATGTGAGTGTCAGATGACTCTCTGAGAAATTAAAGCATTTAATTGTGTGTGGCTAATGATGCTGGTGTGAAAGAAGAATCACTAGAATAGGGGTACAGGGAGTTAGATAAGGAAAGTGTGATATTTATAAATATTTAAAATCAAAACATTAAAATTTGACTGTTTTAAGTAGCCTGTGAGATTAAAAAAAATTTTTTTATAACAATGCTCCCCTACTGGTTAAACGCAGCATGACCCAGCCTCCACACTACTAGATTTACCTAAATGCTTTGATTGCACTTCTCTCACTGGTTAAACGACAGCATGGCCCAGCCTCCACACTGCTAGATTTGCCTAAACTTTTTCATTGCACCTCTCTTACTGGTTAAACGACAGCATGACCCAGCCTCCACACTGCTAGATTAACCTAAATGCTTTGATGGCACCTCTCTCATTGGTAAAATGACAGCATGACCCATCTTCCACACTGCTTGATTTGCCTAAACTCTTTAATTGCACCTCCCCCTCAGGTTAAACTAGTACGACAGCCTGACCCAGCCTCACCTCTGCTGGACCTGGCCATACTAGGCAGGTCAGATCACTTCATTGGGAACTGTGTGTCAACGTTCACTGCCTTTGCCAAGCGTGAGAGGGATGTCAGGAGGCTGACGTCATCATTTTGGGCTTTTCAGAAGAAGAAAAGGCGAACAGAATTGTGATTGGAAGTAAAAGTCTTGTTACTGAATTTGCCTGATGGGAAGAACAAAATATTTTGTTACAAAACAAACTCTGGCAATGTTTGGTAAACTAAGTCTGCTTTAGTTATGATCTAGTCTCATCTCATTCGGTAATTAAATATAATACATCTTGTTCTTAAGCAGCTAAATTTAAATGGATAAATACCAGTTACTAAAATGTTAATATTTGAAGACATTTATAGTTTAATCCAGAAGTTCAAACTGTGCAAACTTGGGGAGTAGAGCGTTCCCCATAGGGGCGCCACATAGTGAAACAAAATGTTATAAAAAATGTTGTGCATTTTTTGAAATTTGATATAGAGTGCCTTTGGGTAACCTAGATTCAGCAAGGTTGCCGTGAATTGAAAAATTTTGGGAACTTCTGTTTTAGTCAATTTTTAAATGTAAATAGCGTTTTTATAGGGTTGTTGCAATATAAAGAAGAAAAAACTTTGATCTCTTCAAATGGAGTCGTGTATTGCAAGATGTTTCATAGAATGATAGAAAGTGCACTAGTTTGAAAGCATTGTACTCTGCAATGTATTGCAGCTGAGGTTGCGGTTAGGATCCTGCAGTGTTAGAGCCAAGTCATTGGTCCATTTGGGTTGAAACGTCCTATACTTTAATTTAACTATTGTTTTATTTAACAAATAAATTAGGTTGTCCTCACTTAATGGCAAGAGTTCATCTGCTGTAACTAGTTAGTTAAGGAAATGGCTAAATCAAGAAGCTTTTTATTCATTTAGTCTGAATTTTTTTAAAAAAAAAGATCTCAAAGAAAAATATAATTAAATTTGTTAATAAAATGTATTACCGGTAAGCTTACTTTATGTTGACAAAATAGAGCACACTGTTACTGTTATATCTGACATTTCATGTACTGACTAAGCACTGCAGTAAGTTATAAATGATGTCAAAGCTATTTGCCATAGTTTGAAATGCATGTTCACACCTTGAAAAAACAACAACACACTATTGGTCAAGTTTCTGTACATAATAGATCAAAGGAATAAAAAGTACACATAAAATGAGATGAAACTCTATTGGACACTGAATGCTGGCAGTCATTGCTGATAACCCGACGAATGAACCCAAATTTTGTTACTCTTGATTTTTGGTAAAGTTTCCTGATATTCAAGATTCTTAAATTTTAATTTATTTTTATTTAATTAAAAACTTTACAATAAATTAATTTGAGGGGCTCCAAGGTGCTGTTACCTGTGCTGAAATCGGTTGACAAAATAGTTTTGATTGTTGTGAGACTTTTTTGGGTGCTTTTTGTAATAGATTTGATTTAAATATTTTAAATACGGTAAGTGTATGAATATAAATGGGGATTTTATAAATTTAAATGAAAAGACTTTTCTACCATATCATATTTCATGACTTGGGGTTTAAGGGCTAGTGTTTTTGTAAGATGTAATTCCTAATGAAAATTATGCAAATGTTTTACTCTGTTGTAAATTAATGTTAAATATTTTCATTACTGGCATTTACAATTGATTGTAACATAATCTGACATGATTTTTTTTAAAAATACTGTACTGGATTTTTAAAGTGTACTTACATTTCACTTACAACTGCTGATCTTATATAATGTTATTCTTTTACAACTTACTTATGTTTTGAACTATTCCTGCAATACACTCTTGGACCATAATGATTTGGTCTTTACTGTTTTTTTAAAAGAAACATATATTGTGGGGAAAAAAATGTTATTTAATGTCTAACTTACTGTGATAATTAAATGGGAAACTGATCTGCTGCTCAAATCAAACCTGTCACCACAACAACAAATCAAAACTGTCACAACAACAAATCAAATCTGTCACAACAACTAATCAAATCTGTCACCACAACAACAAATCAAATCTGTCACAACAACTAATCAAATCTGTCACAACTAATCACATCTGTCACAACAACTAATCAAATCTGTCACAACAACTAATCAAATCTTTCACCACAACAACTAAGCAATTCTGTCACAACAACTAATCAAATCTTTCACAACTAATCAAATCTTTCACCACAACAACTAATCAAATCTGTCACCACAACAACTAATCAGGTTCGAAGCAAATAAAGCGTGAGGATGTTAAATGCAAAAATTATATTATTAAAAAAAAAAAACTGATGCAAGGAAAGAAAAGAAGTCCTGAGTATAATATTAGCCATGTTTAAGAAGAAATGAGAAATGATTGTAAATAAATGGGGGTTTGCCTATCTAGGATTGGTGTTATCAACCCGTATCCGGAAATTTTGAAGACGGAAATTGATCGAACGGAAATTTGGTCGAATATTTTGTTCAATTCACAGTTAAAACCTTGGCAATGCATTTATCGGTTACTCGCTCAACACGTACGAGCTGCTTGTACACAGACCCTAGTTTGATGCTCAACACGTACGAGCTGTTAGTACACAGACCCTAGTTTGATGCTCAACACGTACAAGCTGTTAGTACACAGACCCTAGTTTGATGCTCAACACGTACGAGCTGTTAGTACACAGACCCTAGTTTGATGCTCAACACGTACGAGCTGTTAGTACACAGACCCTAGTTTGATGCTCAACAAGTACGAGCTGTTAGTACACAGACCCTAGTTTGATGCTCAACACGTACGAGCTGTTAGTACACAGACCCTAGTTTGATGCAACAGATACGTTTAGTTTTATTCCATATTAATCAGATTTTCCTTATGACATTCAGCAGTAGACGAACTGTGCCTTTGAACCGACTCTCGTAACTCAGGCAGACTGATGCTCAAATATAGACCTACTTGATTTATTCCACCATTCACACGCTTCAGCACTCTTCGTAAATACAGTGGGGTCTCGGATAACGAACGCCCAAGTTAACGAACAAATCGGTTAACGAACAAGTATTGTGAACATGTTTTTGTCTCAGTTGACGAACGATACCTCGGGCTACGAAATTCATCCAATACACCCCATTCCCAACGGATCATTACACCACATTCCCAACGGATCATTACACCCCATTCCCAACGGATCATTACACCCCATTCCCAACGGATCATTACACTCCATTCCCACCGCCTAAGAACACCCCATCCCACCCGATCAGTGACCCCCATCCCACTGGATCAGTGCACCCTATCCCACCGGATCAGTCCACCCAATCCCACTGAATCAGTGCACCCTATCCCACTGGATCAGTAGAGCTTTGGAACTTCTATAGTTAACGTCGTTTGTCACAGTGCTGTGACCAAACACACACCCTTTTGTTATGTCTGCACCCTTTATGTTAATTTAGCCCTTATTATGGCACCTTAATAAGTATCGTGCTATAAATTATAAATAGGAATCGCTTTGTTGTGTAAGTAAGGAAGAATAACATTTTAATGAAAATCCAATGTTGCAGTTCCGGATGATTCTACATCAAAGATAAAGACAATTATTGTTAGGATACGATCTTGTGCGCACTTACAGTTACAGACAAACATAAAAAGTATAGAGAAGTGGGAAAATCCGGAATTTCTAGTTGCCCAGGTTTTGAATGGAAAGGGGATTCCCCTTCGAAGCAATTTAATATCTTTGAAATTTACTTCCTTTCTCCTTCTCCCCCCACCATTCACGTGTGCACCCAGTCTCAACAAACAAGCTAAAGTACAGTATTGATTTATTTATTATATACTTAGGCCTATATATCTATAACTTAAGATTTTACAATTTCAATCTACACTTTTCATTACTGAAAAACACTTAAACATTTTAAAATCCCATGTTTCGGAGGCTTGAAAGGATTCATTGGATTTACAATGATTTCATAATTGGGGGCAAATTGTCTCGGTTAGCGAGCGTATCGATTTAAGAACGGAGCCACGGAGCCACGGTTGAGTTCGTTATCCGAGGCTCCATTGTATCATTTCAGTTAACAAATTTGTGTGCTCGAAAGCTTTAAAAAATGAGAAATAGTTAGGACCTGTACGATAACACGTCCTTCTTCATCTTCTAGATATTAAGGGTCCACGATCAATGCATTGGTCATTCTGGCTCCTTTGTATGTAGATGGATGGTTTCTTTGCCTGGTGTCGAAGAGGATATTTCACTAGTCGCAAGGGCTAATCAGCGAGGGTATCATGAACTGGGGGGGGGGAGGGGGGAGTGGTTGGAAGGCCTGATGCAATAGATGGGGGGGGGGGGGGGGGGGGGGGGGGGGGGAGGGGGGGAGGTACGAGTTAGGTTCAATCAGTTCATGTTATTCATATATTCTGGCCAACTCTTCGATATTTGACACGGATGCTTACATTTCCGATATTTCAGAAGTAGGGAAAAAAAAACAACGTTATTCCAAATAAAGTTGATTGTGTGAAATGTATAGTGCTTAGATCGATCGGGATTTCATTCCCATGAATTCACGCCAAGGTCACTGACATTAAAAAAGCTTGCGTTAGTTTTTGAATGCTGCACCAAAGGTGGCCATATTTTAGCTGTGTCAAAGAAGGTCGAGGCCGGTCCTGGGTCTTGGCTCTCGAGACTGCGTCATCTGTCTTTGTAAATGAACGCAGTAAGGACACTCTAAGAGAGCGATTATTTTTATGGGCGTACGTGCAATGTAGAAAAATGATAACTAGCAGTGAGATGAAGAAATGGCTTTGAAATGTTGTAATTAATACAACACCAAAACAGTTCAATGACCATCAGATGATTCGAACGTCTTCTTTTTTTTTTTTTGAAAATCCTTTATATCAACTTCGCCTTTGTTCGTATGTTTCTGACCGGGTGGCAAAATATTCGGACGGCTAATTGACCCACTTCCCGTCCATCTATCACAATGAAACTGCTGTGACAACAGATTCATTAGAATATTAATATCGTCGAGGGTCGTGAAAATAATTGGCGATTGCGAGCCTTGGGGAAATAAAAGGTGGGGTGGGAGGTGGGGGTGGGGCACTATTTCTTATAAACCAAATAGTTTCTTAGAAAGTGCGTTACTTGATTGCATTATTGATAAAATTTTCATACTGCCGCCGCCC